TTCTCCGAGGCACCGTTAACGAGTTATTAACGAAAAACAGTGACCAATGAGAGGCGAGCTCGGCTGGCGCGAGGCGACCGAGCCAATGAGCGGAACTGGGCTTCGCGCGCTGGTTGGCTGGGCCGCCACGCGTCAGCCGTACTCGATTCTTATTGGTCACTGTTTTTCGTTAATAACTCGTTAACGGTGCCTCGGAGAACATTTTTGTAAAGGAAGAAGTTGCTTCAAATGATCCGAGGAACCCGCTATTTCCGGATTGCGAGACATTTTCGGGACACCCTGTATATTTAATCAGTCCCTCAGCTAGCGCCATCTATAATAACCACTATTCAATATAGAATCCAATAAAAATGTTCCTAAAACTATTCTTGTACCGTTCTATTAAGATTATGTCAATATTATGTTGAAGAGATCTATTACAGATATAGTCTTTGCAGTAATAGCTTACAATAATAACAATATCTAAGATTCGAATAGAGATTCAATCTCAAACAATTGTTAAAAAGACTTATCCTTGATTCAGCTAGCACCATCTACAACGCGCACTGTTTGCACCGATTTTCATACCTTGTCACACGAAGCTTTACAATTCCACGAGTATTAAATACGCTAAACAATTTTAAATAAGTATATATTATTATAAATGCATGAACCGTACTCCGTTCGCTGTGCAATAATTAGAAATGTGATTGTACGGACCTGAATTATTGGCAGGCGACGTGGAGAGGCTGGAGGGTGCGCAGGAGATGGCCGCTGCGGAAGACGGCGCTCGGCGTGACTTCCGGTTTGGGTCAGAAGAAGCCGCAGCAACCGACATCTGGGAACACCGGAACAGTTCAGAGGAGCGTGACGACTTCCGGCGGCACAGGAACCGGGACCAGACCGAGGCCGCAGCCAATCGCTGGCACACCGCCTCCGGATCCCTCGGAGAAGTGCGCGGATCAGAAGATGATCCAGCAAACGTGCACCCTATTCGGTCTGGATTTGGTAAGAGGAGATCTCTCCCTCCTAACCGTGTCTCGATCGTCGCCGGTGAATACACGTGCGCGTGTATACAGCGTGTTCCGAAACTTTGTTTCAGGAACGACCGCCGCCAGTGCCGCCTAGCAGAAGCTACACGGTAACAGGTAACACGAAATTGGGCTACCCGCAGACGAGGATCATGAAGATGCCGTTTCCAGGTAAGAGTCGTCGTACTTTCTTCTCTCCCCGTGTTGAAAACACGCTTCTTCTTCTTCTTTCTCTTCTTTTTCTTATCCCTCTTTGTTCTCGTTTCTTTGTCGTTGCGTTCTCTATGTGCGATGCATCTGACGTCCTTCCGCGAAAGTTTGCTGTCGCGGTCTTGTTGCCCTACGAATCCGCCATTGTTCGGAATCGTCGCGATAAAACTTACTTGGATCGCTGATGAAAAGCTTTCTAAACTTGCTCTCTCGCTTCCGCGGATCCGCTCGGGCTTCTCCGGCGTTCTCGAGACACGGTTTTGTTTCGCGGCCGACTCGTCGCCGACACTTTCTTTCGGCGAGCCCGCGACTCCTCTTGCTCTCCTCTTTGTCTCATCTTCTTTTTCTCCTTCTCAAGCCTTGGGTACACTGTGGACTGTCTGCGAGAATGCCAGCAATCTCTTTTTTTTTTATCAGATCCGCTTCAATTTTGATCGGTGCTGGTTATCGTGGGACTTGAATCTCTTGACACGTACTTGTTTGTGGATTGTCTGTGGAAATGATAGCAATTTTTGCTCAGATGTGTTTCTATTTTCATTGTGTTTGGTTATTTCTGGGTGAACATATAGGTGAAGGTGAACGCTGTGAGCTCTAAAGGAAGAGAATAAGTGAATTTGATCTTCGTCCGGTGCTTGTTTGTACTTGATAATTAGGCTGTGGATGTTTGTGTAGATAAATTTGTGTGATCTCAGAGACTTTCCGCAGTTGCTGCGTAAGTTTTATAGAGTTGTAGATGCTGCGTGCAGTTCGTTTTCAATTCTAACACTTATCGCTGTGAGAGCATTAGAGCATGATTGCTAGCCGAACAAATTTTGTTCGTTTCAATGCGCTTGAAATTGTAAGGAAATATTATGTGTATACAATATTAAATTATACTCTATATTAGACCACTACTTATGATTATCATTGCCAGTCTCAGTGATACGGGTTAATTCTTTCATTTCTTCTTCAATTCTATCATTTCTTTCTCTCTCTACCTTCTCTATTCTTTATTCTTCAAAATAATAGTGTCACTGAATAGATACATACAGTAGATTAGATTACAGTAGATAGAACAGATACATACAATAGATAAATCTGTGGATATCTACTAAGCAACTAACTTAACCCTTAGCACTCCGAACCATTCTGGACGTTGGCTACCAGCTACTCAGCGCCACTTTTCGGCAGAAACGGGCATTTGCAGACCCTCGTATTATTTAGTATGGTTTTGGAACTAATTAACATATTATAATGATATTGGACTTATATGAATTTAGCTGAAATCAAGAAATTTGCAAAAAGATCAATATTTTATTTTTTATAATTTCGTTATTGTTTGTTTTGTAATTTTGTTTTGTTGTTGTAACCGCTATCTATGCGAACTCTTTCTCTCGTCGCCTTGTTGTTTGGAGGACATCACTATCACTGCTATCAAAACGATAGAAAACCTTCTACAGTTAGTCTTTCTAACATATCTGTATAAACGTCTATCTGGGGCTCATCTTCACTACTACTACTTGTGTCATGAGACTCATTCGTGTTTGAACGTTTTGCCATTGTTCTAATAAAAAATATGAATAAATACATAGGTTGAAAATTTCTGATTGTTATTACTAACTCACAAGATGATATTTACCAAAAAATCTTTTACCAAACAATTTATTTACCGACAGAAGAATCACTTTTCCGATTTTCTCACTCGTTAGATCTATCTATACCGCTCGACGCTTCAAACCAGAC